AAAAAAGAAGGTTGGTAAACATGGCAGATAGGAATCACTTTATCTAAACTAGGTATTTAAAGTTGACTGAACCTTTATTAGTCACATAAGCTCCCTTTCTCATTCCTGTAGAGAAACAAGACACTCTAAGAGGAAAGTGTCCTCTTAGAGACATAGACATAGGTGTCACGTCCCACCTTTGAAGTGTGAGGTGGCATATCATGGAGGGGAGAATATTAATCGGTAATCTGATTTGGAAAATCTCTTGTATTTCTGTGGTCCTATACTATATATATTTAAAGAGATATGTTTATTTGTTGTAGCTTAGAAATAATAATCATACTAATTATGCTTAAAATTAGATTAGATTAGTAATAAAATACATTAAAAACCAAGAAGTTCAATTCTGGGAAAGAAATATGTATTTCCTGAAGAAATGTCCTACTGAATGTATCAGTGAAGAGCATCATACGTTTTTTAATGGAGAAAAATTGCGTGACAGTTAAAAAATACTATAAATCATATTCTAACATAGGAGTATAAATTCATATATTATTTCTTTAGTTTCTTCAATTATTAATGTCTATATGTCCTCTTGGAGCTTATCGCTATGAAATTCAACATGGTTCTTTCCACAAGAATTATTCATGACGGTTTCCAAAAGCCAGAGATGACTGAAACACACAGCAAAGCAGTGTGGAATATTCAAAAGTGTGTTTCAGGAAACCCAAATATATATTCCACTGAAAGCCAAGAGAGCTGAAGCGTGAGGGGAAAATAAGACAAACACAGTTGACCAGGGAAATACAGTAAGCAATAAAAGAACGAATAAAGGCATGCAAGACAGATAAATCAATGGGGTCATTGCTTTGAGCAGGGATAAACAAGTCTGAAAAATAAGCAAATAAGGGGATCATCACAAAAGCCAAAATTGGAAATGGAGAGAAAATTGCAGAAGCTCTAAGGACAAACAGTAACAGATTTCACAAATATATGAGGATCAAGAGGTCAATGGGAGAAACTGTCGTCTCCGTATGTGGTCGGGGGGGTGGGGGTGGGGGGAAGTTAGCTACAGAGGCTACTGGGAAGCCGGTGCTACCTTCCCCTCGGCATGCTCGCGGGAGAGACCACAGGGAACATGCCAGAAACAGAGAGAAGTGTCCTGGAGGCAGAATCTGAAAAATTAATGAAACAAAGGATGAGAGCGGAACAGGTTAAGAGAGAAAAAGAAGAAAATAGGGCAGCTAAGCAGTAGGCTCCAGGTCTGGTGGCCTGTTTCCCAGGTTTCTGAAAGACACAGATTTTAGTACATGAGGTATATATAAGCTATATGAGTTACATAGTTGAAGAGCAGAAGGAAGCCAGTGCAGGACAGTATTTTAAAGGTCTTATAAGAGAAACCCTCGCACAGGCAAAACCAAATTCAGGCTTGTGGAGAGCTGGTACGAAGGAATCAGGAAAGAGTTTACAAAAGCTGTATCGGAGTTAACTAACACAACTGATTTCCCTGGAAAAAAGGACATGTTCCTAAATTCTTAGTGCTGGACCCAACCCTCAAAATATACAAATGTTTGTTCCTGTTAGTTGCTGATGTGTCTTCAATATTAATTCTGTGAGCAAAGGCACTGAGACTAGATAAATAAAGTGAAAAACTAAAGTCAAGTTCCCAACTTTACTTGAATAGCTGAGTTGCAAATAGTTATTTAATGAGATTATAAAAGCATCAAAGCCAATCAGGCAGCTGACTGGCATTGATTTCCATTGCCAGTTACGCACTTTCCAGGGGGATCTGAATCCCAACTAATGTCTTTATAAAATCTTGTGTAGAAAAGCATAAAGCCATGAGAAAAAGATTAAAGATGACCAAAAATGGCAACAACCATTTCTTTATACCTTTGACCAATAATTTGTATTTAAAAAGTCATGCAATTATACTTAGATGCTAAATACAAAAATTAAACAACAGTTCAAAACAAAATAGATATATTTGTTATCCTACTGTCTTCTTCCCCAGTTCCCAGACTACTATGAATTCCAAAGGGGACTGTTTTGGGGCATTACTAGATTGCAAGTATTTGGTGTTCTTAACTAAACAAAGATTGGGGCAGAGCGGGGTTAATGTTTTGGCTTTAATGTGACAAAATTCAAGTTCGCGTCATCTCCAGTGGCCAGAAATTTTCACAGTTATGCATCTATTGGTGCCCTTTAGCCTTGATGGTTTTAGCTCAGAGCTGCCTGAAGTGTCATCTTTACCTCTTACACTGTTCTAAGGAGGTTATAATAAGAGGAAGAAATGAAATCCTGGGGATTGCTGGGGCTAAGCCTACTCACATCTTTGAAAATAAAGATCAGGATTTTGAGAAAATACCGTTTAATGATAATGGCATTGAAGAAGCTATAGTGAGGGTAATATGCATCACAAAGAGAAGGAACAGAAACCCAGAAAGCAAGACACATCCACTCAATAAATGTTATCCTGTCTGCTTAAATCCCATTGAACTGATATGCAAGTTTCAAAAATCTGCCTCAGCCTCAGGCTGTGACCCACTCCTGTTTTCCAGGATGCAACCTCTGTTAGGCTTCTCAATGAAACAGTTTCCTCCCTAATTATCCAGCCATTTCTCTGGGCACTACACACACTCTGAAGTTCCAGTTCTGAGGAAAAATTCATGCGCCTTCTCTCAGAGCTCCATATGGAGAGTTTAAATAGACAGTTCCTGAACTCCCGTAGCATCAGGGGAAGTGCCAAAATAAACCTGGTGTGGTCAGAACTACAACAAAGTGCTTCCCTTTTGCCCCAGGTTTTAGGCAGTGTCCAAACTGATGGAGATTGAACTCCTGTTTCTGCCCTGACTGTGATGATGTGGGATATCTTCCATGAAAATATGTCCCACCTTTCCTCTTGATTCTGAGCAGCTGGGTACTGACCAAGAAGAGGACTCACAGGACAAGAGGCCAGACAGTCATTTGGCAGCGAGCAGCAGTGGTGACCTAGAGACAAGGATTTCCACCGTATTTATGGGGCTTTCATTGGAGCACCTTTGAATAGAAACAAATATAATCCAAAGAGAAGACACCAGAAGCTTAGGCCTCCTCTTTCCCAGGTTTAGGGCTCTTAAAATTATTGAAGCTTTGGGCTTTTGCTTGCCTGATGTGTATCAGACTGAGTTTCTTGCAGCCAACTGCACAGAGGCTCACCTTCTAGAGGAGGGTGGTCTTCCCCAGGATATGCCCTGCGACCTGCTGGATGGAGCGTCGGCCTGGGATCTGGAGGCTGTGGGTCGATTCCCCCTCTAGCCTGTACCGTTAGGCCTCAACTTTGATGTCGATGTCTGGAAACTATATCCCATTAGGACTACTACCCTGTACCAACTCCCAAGTGAGGAGGATTGGAATCTGGCTAGATGGAGATACTTAACATTTACTCAGTATTTCTTGATAGTGCTAATGGAGGGAGGTGTTTAATTTAGGCATGCAGGATTAGGCTTTGAAGACACCTATAGTCCAAACAGAGAGAGAGGTGCCTGTGTTATGCAGAAAAAGTCTCCCTTAGCAGGTTTTCCATGATGAGTACCATCTTTTGTGACTGTATGTTCCTTAGATATGTGTGTACCTGGCAGACTGAGTCAGTGAACAAGTGCTTTAAAATTTAGGTAAGACAATGGCTAAGTTAGGCACTTAAATAAAATGGTTAGGCACTTAAATAAATACTTGTGACCTAATTAGCAGTTTAAGTAATTCGAATCCATAGCTGCTGGGATGCAATTAAATCAGACCAAGATCAAGACCATGCAGACACCACAAATAGTGCATATGTAGTACTAAACGCGGTGAAGCCCCCTATTTTTCAGTGGTCTGTCAATAGAGTATGAAGCATTACTAGAGTGGAAGAAAATTATAAAGATCCGCAGTGTTTTGTAATCGCGATAAAAGGAACAAAAATATAACGTAAAAGAGGAAGTTACAAGTAGATATGCAGAAAGGGCTAGAAAGAACAGTTTAAATGTCCCCAAACTAGTTAATCACAGGAAGAAGACTAAAAACTGGTGTAGCTTGATTAGCATTTATAATCACACAATAACAAAGTTCAAAGAGGGAGTCCTTTAAAGAAAAAGTAATTTGTGTGTGCAATCACTCTGTGTAGGAGGTCACAGGAGTTACACAAGGGTGATCACGTTCAACAAACACAGATTATATGACCTTTGAGAAACAAGTGGCTACTCTGGTAGAAGACTAGAACTCTGAAATGCTCTCTGTGTTACAGTGCATTAAAATGATTGATGAGCAAGTGATACTCAACGTTGAAAAGTCTTGACTTTCTTCACTCACCAAAGGTTCTGTTTATTGTTTGAATTTTTTCAATGTGAGAACACTTCCAATACGGGCCATGAAAACTGTTGGTTTTGGTTGTGTTGCAGAACTTGCTTTCCCATTTATCCAGCCTCGTAGTGTATAATAGAGCATAGCAGTGGAGAATTTTAGAGCAATTCATCATTTATAATAATAACAAACAACAGCATTAAGAATGTGGTTGTATTTTCATTATTTAAATAGCATTGAAATATATCTTAATTGTACACAATCAAAACTTTACTGCATATTACAAAATCATGAAGCATTGTTTTATTCCTGATTGTTGTATAGATAGCTAACAGGTAGGATAACATTACTGGTTTTTTAACTATATTCATCTGCCTTAGAAAAGAGTAACATGCAGAAGAGAGAAAAGAACGAGAAGGAAAAAACACATTTGTGTCAGTTCTGGAACTGTTATGCTGGCATGTATCTGTGACACGTTCAGGCAAATAATATTTGTTTGCAGTTTCACAGGTTTTGTAAGTGTCCTCCCCCTTGGTCATTATTGCCTAAGCAGCATTTTAGTTTGAAAACATGCATTTTGAGAACAGCAGCTAATCATGGTGTAGAATTAGAATATATGACTAAATGACATGAGTTATACAGTCTGACCTACAGAAATCTGCAGGATAGTGTAATAATTTGCATCTTTTATTTTTGCACAGTGTTTATGGCTGTCCTTTGGCAAAAAAAAGAAAAACACAAGATAAGCAACCCCAAGAACCTGCCCCCAAAAGAAAACCTTTTGTGGTTAAAGCAGACAACTCTTCTGTAGATGAGTGTTATGAAACTGATGGAACAGAGGAGATGGATGAAAAGGAAGAGGAAGAAGAGGAAGAGGATGAAGAAGAGGAGGAATATTCTGATGATAATGAGGAGCAAGGTGATGAGGAGGATGATGATGAGGAGATAGATCGAGAAGAAGAAGAGGAGGTTGAAGAGGAGGAAGAGGAGGATGAAGAGGAAGGTGAAGATGTGGAGGATGAAGAGGAGGAGGAAGAAGAGGAGGAGGAAGAAGAGGAGGAGGAGGAAGAACGTGGTAATAATCAGAGTATTAGTAAAAAGTAAACAATGTGTGTTTTCTGGGTTAATCTTCTAGTGTGGCGTGTGAGGATTTAACTGTGTGGTTCTCATTAAAGCTAATGGAAGTCATGCGGTTAAATCTCCCTGCTCCACACTGAACATATACCCCACTGTGTTCTCTTAACATTTATTTTAGTAAGTCTGTCTTCCAAATAGTTTTTAATACACTAGCACTCACATTTCAAACAAGGAGGGTGGAGGTGTGTTTGTGCTAAAAATGCTTGCATAAACTGTAATCCTAGTAGTGGATTAATGCATGCAGTTACCAGGAGAATATTCACAAAGGTACAAGCAAAGCATCGGCTACAGCTGGGTGCCTGTACTGATCATTTGCAAGTGTGTTTGCTGGATCTGCTTGTATAATGTCAATGGTTGCCCACATAAATGCTGTCACAAGTTTGCAGACAATTTTTGTGAGCAATAACAGACCTCTTCCCTTTGAAAATTTTGCCCCGTACTTCCCCCTACCCAAAAGAACTATTCAGAATGAACTATTATAATATACTTTGGTTCCTTGAGACTTGAATGCTGTGTACTTTAGTTGATTCTATTAAAAATAGAGAGAGAGAGGTTTACATAGATAAAGTCCTTCTAAAATCCATCTATTTTGGTTATCGTATTATGGCATAAAAGCCATTTAGACATACAGGTCACTGGTAATAACCAAATTAATGTAGTAGCAATGTGATTAACCTATTCACCTTTCTCTTTTTTGGGATATTGGACTCTATATAACCAGTATTTTCAAAATATGTAATCAGTGTCCAATTATTCGAGTCCATATGCTGATGACAGATGACATAATGCACTGGGGTGAAATGAAAGAATCATGCAAAAATTAATGAGCTATCTAAAAAGTATTTTGTTCCCATTTCCAGGGAACACGTTTTTGGTTGGGTAGATTCACCTTTCTAACCAATAAAAATATAAGAAAAGCTTTCAGCACTCCTCAGTTGGATTCCTCTTAGGATTCAGGTATGAAAGTTGTATGACTTTTGTTTCAGCATTCTGTAAGGTCAGCTCTTAAATCTTATAGAAAGACTTTGGAAGTATTCTTTCCATTTGGGCAAGATGGTGGCCAGCTGGGTGGCTATAAGCATTTTCTCAGATATCTGAATCCGCAGCATTTCCTCGATTGCTGAAATTTGCCAGCAGAATTGGTAGAGCATGAGTGTCCAATCTTAAATGTTACATGAGTTTGATGCAACAGGGAAGCCATTTGCTTTTGCAGGGAACTGGTGTTTCAGAACCTGGAAGAGAAGCTGTGTTAGATCAGGCTGATGTGCAACTGCTATTGCTGTCCTGCTGGGCAAGCACAGAATGTCTAGCAGTTTCTTTAAGAGATGATGGTGACTTGAGTTTGTGGTGCTTGGTTATGGTGCAACTGCTAGTATGATTTCAGCTGATGTGAAAAACTTTGAATCTACACTATCAAAAATGATAAAAGGAAAAAAAACCCTAAGCAAAACTCAAGAGCTCAAGAAAATTGCTTCTGGCAAGCCAGCAAGCTTGATACTCTGTTTACTTTTACTATCATAATGAAACACAGTGGTTTACTTATTCCAACACAGTTACACATGCAGTTAGCAGTCCTAATCAATCTACAGAGGCTGACATTGCTTTTTGACTGCTTTCCTTCCATATATAGTAGGCTGTGGTTAAGAACTGCAAAAATTTTACAGAGGTATCTGTATTAGCTGCTCTACACATTACATGGAATTAAAACTTCCATAGCTCAAGTTTTTCTTAGGATCCCATGCTATTCCAGTAATAATACGTGTGTACTTTAATAAATATATATATGTTCTATGCCAAATATTAGTCATCAAGAAAAAATCCACCTAAAATGGGGGAAGTGATAATAGAATTTTATAAGAAAAATATTTCATTATCTCTTGAGAATCAACATAGTAATCACTATGCAACAATCCCAGTTAGAGCAAAGCTGATTTACAAGAAAGAGTTAATGAGGAAGGTAGTATGGAGTTCCTTATGTCTATGCCAAGGAGTGGAGAGTGATAAGAGTTTGTTCTTGGTGACGTCTAGAAGCTAATCAATAAATCAGATTTTTTTTATATAGTTTATTTCCTACTGATTTCGATAGGGATCCTGATGTTTCACGTTCTTCCGCTCATAACATAAGCAGCTCTGGTAGAATTTGGACTGTTGATTTTCCAGGGAAACAAAGTGCAATCAAAGTTAGGGGTTCTAAAACCACATGGTCTGAGTATGGCACTTGCCTTTATCTATTGAGTATATGGGAAAATTAGTCTGTCAGCTCTGAATTCAGCTGCCTCAATCACTCACTGCTCACTACGATGTAGATACTGTAGTCAACCACCATCCACCTTTTAAGTCACCTTAGCAGGAAGTCTGAATATGTCTTAGTGCTCCTATCCCTAGAAACAAAATGCAGACTTATCCACTGGACACCAGGATGCCTGCACAGTTCGCATAAAAGTTTCTGTCACTTGTATGATTAGATTGTAGCAGTTCAGAAAATTTCCATAAGTAACTACAGTCTAGGTGGACAAAACAGTTAAAATCATAAATATGGGGGATAGAAGAATTCCATCAGCAAGTCTAGGACTACAGAGGCAGCAATTAGTCAGGGGGAAGGGTTGAGAGGAAGAAGGTAAGGTATTTTACCATTTCTTAGACCAAATTCAGTTTTCTGTTAGAAAAGGATAGAACATGGGAAACTCAGGTACCTCACTGGTGTCTTGTTGCCCATACTTTTTGTTAAAAGAAAGTGAATTTTAGATGGGATTCTCAGACAATATAGATAATATGCAGATAGTATAGGTATGCAGTTCTTACTGAAAATACTTGGACATTCACTGAAACCGTCTCGGCCTTTTTGAAAATCACATCTTTCTGGCCTCGTCAGTGATAAACTGAAGGACTTGGAAAATACAGATCTATCCTAAAGAAGCACTCTTACAAATCTCAAAATACCAATTTAAAATAAAAAGAAAAAAATCCCAAACTTTTTTAGATGAGTCCCAAATTCTGTGCTTATATTTGTGTGCAATCCGTTGAATCAAAATGAATGCTTAAAATTCCCCAGCAATGGCTGGCACATCCTCTTTACATTTCCATTAAATGTACTGAATCTCTTTGAAGAACACATATCTATCCATCTACCTATGAACAGTCTTGAGAAGCCCTTATGTTCAGTACCACCACTAAAGGAAAGATGAATCTTTCCAATTTCCCTTCTATCCCAGAAAGAAAGGGCAGATAGATGACCTGTGTTACAATAACCTAACCTGTAAATTGCAATACGAACGAGAAGGAGTAAGAGACGAGGCTGCTTTTGGAGTGCCCTTCTCTGTGATGGCAACTGCCGAGAACCTTTTGCAAGGCAAACCAAAGTGCTTTCTCCTGGGAAGAGCTTCCTTCAGGTAGTGGGGTCCCAAAGACTGTTTCACAAAGCTTTTCTATTATAGAAAGAAATCTTCATTGGAGGAGCTCCCGGAACAGATGTTCCAAGGCACCATTTAGCCCATATCACATGAAGACATTCAAGATGGCTTGTACTCCAGGTATTTCATAATCTGCCAGGGGCAGGAAGAGTCAGGCTGATTTTAGACCTAAGGAAATTTGATACATCAATCAAATCCATTTCACAGATGATGCTACAAAAACTATCGCAGTTTCCCAAAAGGTGAATTATTAGGAGGTATAAATCTTTTCAAGACTCCCTTACATTTTCTATTAAACTCGAGGTGGCTGGCATATACAATATGTGGTACTGCACCTAATTTTTCGGGTGGAATGTACTGCAAAACTAGCTGTAAAACGTAGACAGTAGTGTATATTCAAAGGAGACATAATACAGTTTTTTAAAATAAGTAAAAGCTAGCACATGGATGCAGAGATAGATGTTCTACCAGTTTTCACAGTTCTTTAAATTGTAGGATTGTTTTTAAAAATCTAGTAATATGTTTGGGTTTTTTCCCTCACTTATCTGAACTCAACACAGACACATAGGCCCTCATAATTTGAAATCCACCTATGAGCTCTATTAAGAGTGTTAGTGCCCTCCACTATCTTCCTCATCCCCTTATCGGATTGCTTCTGAAGCACTTGTGTCCTCTAAGCAAGAAGAGGTGTAAACACCAATCTAAAGATGAGAGAGGCACATGTGCTGGGGAAACTGTGGTGGCATACAACTTTCCAGCTGTGCTTGTCGCTGAAGACACTCTACATCTTGATAAAATAAAGATGGCATATCTGTATTAGGAAGGTCGCCTGTCCAGCCTGCTGACCACTAATCATATTCATTTATTTAAACTATGAGCAGGAAAGTGGTCATCTGTTTGAGGAACACTGTAGGTGTTCAGTATTAATCAGAGCAGAGAGCTAGACTCACGTGTACCTCACAGGCAAAAATCTAATAGAAGAAAATTATAGCTTTAAATTAAGAGGCCAGAAAACATAATTTCACTGCTTAGGACAATGCACATGGGAAGAAGTGCATTTTCCAGGGCCAAAGAAGACTAAATAAGTACTTGACAGTTTCACAAGGTGAAGCAGATCTTAACCTTTTGCTAATAAACTCTATTGCTGTATTGTTTCACCTCCTTCATAAAAGAAGATACCTCGTGATTAGGGTTTCTCACCGATAACAATCTGAAGAACCGAAAAAAAAAAATAGCGTTGCAGCTGGAAGATGTTTGCCCTGGCCATTGCACTGGTTTCCTCTGGACAAGAAGTTATAAATTGCCTTTCTGGTCTCGCTACAGAGTGCTCAAGCCTGGGAGTGGTTGGGTCAAACCACAGCATGACAACTTTTATTGATACCTTCTTGCTGCATTGAAGATGCAAGCATGGATTACACCGTGTTCTGCTTTTAGCTGTTTATATTTTGTATAGAGACATTCAGAATAAACTTTTTCCCTGGAAATTTTTGTTGGAAATAATACAATTAAAAGATTTGGAACAGGTAGT